TAGATGGCAGCAAAGGGGTTCCCTGTACTGTGTTAGGGTACTGAGGTTCTGAATAGATGTGCCAGGCCAGGGATGTCATTCCAGGGACACTGAGTGCTTCCGGTCCCTGTGGATTGTTTTCTGCTTTAGTTATTTTTAATATAGGATCGTATGCTTTTTGCCTCAGACTACAGTCCTTCTACTAGCTATGCCTCCAGAGTAGCTGGGAATACAAGCATGTGCCAGCATGCCTGACCAACTTGTTTGTTTGGATGGGGTCTTGCTAACTTTGGCCAGGGCTGGCCTCCAACCTCAATTCTTCTGATCTCTGCCTCCCAGGTAACTGGGGTTATAGGCATACGTCACCACACCTGGCTTTTTGTTTTGTTTGTACTTGCTCCTTTTCCTTTTTGGTTCAAGATAGTTGTCTAAGAGGATCATCTTTTTGTATTCAGAAGGCAAAATCATAATAAAAATAGTGGTGAGGCATGTTTGTATATAAAATAAAATCTAATCGAGAAGTTGAACAATGAACAGATTTGACTTAGAATGACTTCAGTTTGTTCTGGGCATTCTTGTTTAGACTTACCTTGTTTTGTTTTGGCAGTACTGGAGTTTGAACTAAGGGTCTCATGCTTGTTAGGCAGGTGCTCCACCACCTGAATCACTCCACCAGCCCCACTTACCTTGCTTTTGTTGTAACTTTGTCAGCTTGGGTATTTTCCCAAGTAATTGGATATATTATACATGTTTTTTTAAATTTCAGCATAATAAGCTTGAGCAATCATTTTTTTATTCCTTTCCTTATAAAAGCTATATTTTATCTTTGGAGTGCTAGAACTATCAGTTCAGGTCATTTGTGGGTCAGATATATAATAGAGCCCTCATGTAAGTAAAGAAAACAATTTAGGAGTGGAGGTGTGGTTTAAGCCTATCCGTCCAAAAATAAATAAATAAATAAATAAACAGAAAGAAAAGAACAATTTAGGTTTATTCCTGTGGTAGTTTGGGTCCTGCAGGCAAAGGTAGCTAAGATATAATGGGTAAAAAACACTTACTTGGAATACAGAGTTCTTATCCCAAATCTTGATGTTGCCTCTTCATCTGTAACATGAGGACAATAGTTAACCTATTTCACAGACTTGTAGTGAGAAAATCTTTATAATAATAGTACATTGTTATCTTCATATTAGCTTCTTTTTTGGTGAGATGATCTATGTATTTCACATTACTTAATATAAGGTAGGTGTTGTACTCAGTAACTAGCAGTATTTTTTTCTTATTAGTCCACCACGAATTAAAGATGAACCTGATGACGATGGCTATTTTGCTCCTCCTAAAGAGGAGATAAAGCCATTGAAGAGACCGCGGGACGAGGACGAGTGAGTATTTCTTCACATTTGACTTTTGAAAAAAATAAGAAAGCAGTATTTAAAGAATAAATGTGATACATATCTCTATAAAATACACTAATTGGCTTTTACTCATTTAGAGTTTGTGGTTCATGGACTGGGTAACTGATTTCTTTTTGAATTATGATAGGTGGTGTTTGCTAAGTGAATAAGTAGTATACCTTAAATTTATGTGCAGACTTACTGTAGAAATTTCAAATAATGCATGAATTCATGAAGGGTATTTAACTTAATTTAAGTTTATCATCACCTCCCTATCACATATGAATTAAATTTCTCATAGGATCTGTGTCTTCCAGGCATAGACTTCATTCTAAATGAAGTTTCAGTGTGTAGAGTTAATGAATCTGCCCTGTTTAAGACTTATATGTACCTCTTTCTCAGATTCAACCAGTAAGATTAAATTCTATTATTTTCAGTCTTGTATAATTTATTATACTCCAGGAATCTGCAAATAATTTATGATAAAAATGGATGGAAAGGCACAGAAGAAAAACTTAGCAAACACATTTGTATTCATTCAGTGCAGAATTTTTTTCTTCATTCTTCCAACAAGAATGAAGAACGGCTACTGTTGTGTGGTAGCCGTTGTGCTATGGATCTGTTTCCTAGGCTTCCATCTATGGAGGTCTTCAATAATGGCATCTATTTCTGTATACATTCCAGAGCTCCATTTCCCTCCCAGCCCTGTGTGTAACATAAGTTCTTTTGTTCTTTATAGAGTTAGAATTATTGTTCCTGGTCTGGCCTTCTTTTACTTTTTCCACTCCTGTTAACTCTTGACCATAATAGCAGTCATGCCTGTCATGAAGGCTTCTAAGAATTTGGAGGTCTTAATCCTGTGGGTGAGAATTCCTGAGTCATAATAATGTTAATTGCATATCCATGTTCCCCTTTCTAGTGCTGATTATAAACCTAAGAAAATTAAAACAGAAGATATCAAGAAGGAGAAGAAACGAAAACTAGAGGAAGAAGAGGTTAGTAAAGAGACTTAGGCATTGAGGGCTTAAGTTTGGAAGTGGGAGTTTGCCATAAAACAACTTTTGAAGGCAAATGAATTTTAGGAATTTATTGGTTTGTTACTGTGGGAAACAGTGTGAGTATATTTACATGTATACTCATACTGGTAGCTGTGGCATTGTTTGTGTTAAAATCTCTCTGAACTCCTAAAGTATTTTAAGTTAACCTCAAACCAGCAGTGATTCTACTCTTTTTTTCTCCTGGGGTACCCATAGCTATGCTGCTGATATTCTTTGAGAGAGAATGTCATCTTTAAGTATACAAAGGAAATTCATAAGAGACCACATTTTGGCTTATAACCCTGAAGAATTTTCCTTGAGAACTTTTTTTTTAATGTTTTAGCCAACAAAGCATGGTTCACTTGCTTTGAGTAACTAACGGGTGCCCCCATGGACATAAGATGAAATCCAAGCTTTTAAGCACAACTCTTCTCAATCTGGCCCCTGCATCTTGGGCTTTATTTCCTTTTGTTCCTCTTCGGCTCACCTTGTTCCAGCCATACTGGCCTCCTTTGTTTGTTTTCCATACCAGATTTTACTGTGCTTCTCTGCTTTATGTAGCACATGTAGTTCCTTCTGTCTAGAACACACGTGGTCTTCCTTCTTTCTTATCCTGGTCTATAAATTTCCTTAAAACCTCAGCTTAATTCAAGTACTTTTCTAAGGATTCTATTTGATACTTGAGGTAGATTTAATATGTAATAATATGGTTCTTCCTTTTTTGATTTCTTTAGTAAAAATTTGAAATTAAAAAAAATGGTATCAGAAATTTCTAGGCATCTTAAATTTTTACTCTTCTAAGAGAAGAAGGGATTGCGTGAGTTCTTAGCTTTTATGCTGCATTTGCATGTCAAAGGCAAAATGAGTTCATACCTATGAGGTGGGTACCTTGAAGTACCAGCAGTAAAGATAGTAAGTGCAGAGACTTCGGAGTGCAGTTTAAACTAGGGATGGTGGTGCACACCTGTAATCCCAACACTAGGGAGGCCGATGGTAGGTGGATTGTGAGTTCAGGGCCAACCTGGGCCACATAGCCAAACTGTCTCAAGAAAAAAAGGAGTGTAATTTATCATAGTAGTAGTAAGAATAATTTTAATATTCACAATTAAATGTAATAGCTACTTACTGTGTGCTAGATACTGTTCTACATGCTTTATATGAGTCTAATTTCACTTTATCCTTATAGCGACTATAACAGATGAATATCCCTACTGTTTTCTGCAGATGCAGAAACTGAGGTATAGAGAGTTCAGTCATTTGTCCAAGCTCATATAGCTTCTAAGTTGTATAGCCAGGATTTGGTCCCCTGCAGTCTGAATTAAGAGCCACCATACTAGCTACCATGTATCCGGTTTCCTGTGAAACTGTACAAGGAGGGGAAGAAATGTTTTTAGTTAAATCATATAAACAATATTAGTAAGGTAAGCCATAGAGAGATAATCAGGTCCTGAAGTTAGAAAACTATAGTTTTTCTAATGGCTTCTTAGTAGAAGTTAGAATTAATGAAAGCCAATTCAAGGAATTGAGAATGAAATGTTATAGTGGTTATGACAGCCAGTCACTACACTTTCATGTACGTAATTAGTACAAACTAGTAAAGGAAATGTACAACTGGAGTTCTTTACACATTTTGTTGCTTTTTTGTTGATATTGCATTTATGCAGAACAATACCTTTACTCTTTTTTTATTTTACAGCCTCCCCTACCTTTGCTCTTGAATTTATTAAACCATTTGGAAAAAAGAACTGTTGAGTTTTGTTTTGTATTTTCTTCTTTCTATTTAGCAACCCTCCCCCTGTAGGAAAAAAAAAATGCAAACTGAAAGACTGAATTAATAGTCTTACTGTGGCAGGACAGTAAGTCCCAGATGGACAGACTCTATCATTAAAGCTCACTTTTTGGCCATGGGCTTTTTTTTGTTTGTTTCTGGGAATTGTGTTGAAACCTCTCAGTGACTGATTATCACAGTTTGAGGCTTGAAATCCTATAGTAGTTTCCTTATGGGACCATAAACATGCCTGTTTAGAAGGTGATCAGAGAATATCTTAAGTGGAAAACATTTTCCTTTCCTATGGTGTGTTTCAACCTAAATAGTAAACACTGTCTGAATTAAAGTGATCCTCTAGTGTCTTCTCCAAAAAGAAAATATGAATGCACTTATTTATTCCATTTAAATAATTACTGCTATTTTTGGGCAGTACTGGGGTTTGAACTCAGGACTTCCAACTTGGTAGGCAAGTACTCTACCACTTGAGCCATGCCTCCAGTCCTTTTTAGCTTTGGTTATTTTAGAGAGGGTCTTGCTTTTTGCGCAGGACCACAATCGTCTTATTTTAGGCTTCCTGCTGTAGCTAGGATTACAGGTAGATGCTACCATGCCCAGCCTTTTCTGTTAAGATGGGGATCTCACAGATTTTTTTTCTCTGGACTGGCCTCTAACCTCGATGATCCTGAGGTCAGCTCCCAAGTACCCAAGATTACAGGCATGAATCACCAGCACCTAGCCATTTTTTTTTTATTCATATGTATATTCAATGTTTGGGTCATTTCTCCTCCTTCCCCTACCTAGCCATTTAAGTTAATTTTTTTTTCCCTCTTCATGGAAATATTTATTCATATGTTCTGTCCTTAGAGAGTTTTCTCTGAGCACACTAGAAACTTCCCCACGATTAATGCGCTAAATGATGCACAGTCCAGGCATGATCACTAGTGCAGCTGTGTTCAGGGAGTGGAGGCCTTCTTCACAGCATCTCCATACACCTGTATGAAACTCAACCTTGAAGGGCTCTGGCCCCCTCCAGCCTTCAACTGCCATCCTAGCACCACTGGTTGATGGGGTCTGGCTCAGAACTCAAGTGCATAACAAAGAATCTCATTACTGAACTTTGTTCTCAGTGAGAGCAAATGGGTCATCATTGCCATGTTTAAATTAATTTTAAACTGGTACACAAAAACCTAAAAATTGTATATATTAGTTGTGTTCTTTTCTGTTTACACATTTGCATTCTTCCTGCCCTTTTTAAAATAGGTGTGGTGCTGTAGCTTTCCTCTTTTACCCTAAAAGTCATTTGCTTATAGACCTTGAGTTTATCCCTATCTTGATTGCCATCATATCATGCAGTAGTCCTAGGATGTTTTTCCAGCCATTCCCATGAGTCACATTCTGTGTTTTTCTCATAAACTTAGGCTCTTGTCATGGTCAGTAACAGCTACATGATCTTGATCAAATGGCAAAACCTCTATTTTAAACTTTCCATGATTATAAACAGAAGAGGTCTAGGCAATTCTTTCCAGCTCTGCCATTCCGTAATTGATTTTAAGATGGTTCAGAATGATCTAGAGCAAAGGAAAAAATTCTTTTAAGTGTTCAGATTCTGAACACTCTAGCCATTGAATATTACAGTTTTTGTCTGGGTGTGTTTTGAGATTTGTCTTCCTGTATTGATAAATTGCTCTTATTTAGGTTTGGTGCTCTCTTATTGTGCTACTGTGATAAGCTTATATATGCTTACAGTTCAGAGAAGAGTCATAAAGAAGTAGTACCATAGGAATCAATACTCATTTTCAGACCTCCCAAATACTTGCTGATTATTACCTTGTGTCTTCCTGTGTCATAGAAAGTATTCCCCCATTGAGTCAATCAGTAATTTCCTTTCAAGTGGCATACTGAATATCTTTGTGTGGCATCCTATACCCAGTATTTGATTATATTTGAAGAGGTTTTAACAACGATTAAATTTTAAAATAAAGTAGAAAAAATGTAAGTGAGGAAAGCACACTGGGATTTTTTTCTGTAGCAGTGCTTTCTTGGACACTCCTGGGTTAAAAAAAATAACAGTTTCTCTTCCCCTGCACTGTGAGTGTTTTTAACGCCTTTCCTGCATAATCATTTATCAGAATTTTGGGAAATATTCCATTGTGAAGTAGCAGTAAATTTTTTATTCATCTGTCAAGTAATAGGATTGGACATAAGATCTTTCCAGTTGTAGTATTTTATTATTAGTTTTTCTTCCTAGAGGCTCCCCAAAACTGCCTCCAGAAGTGTGATCACTCCTTATTTAAGTGCTTTCTCACCATGTTTCTTTGTAGGATGGTAAATTGAAAAAACCCAAGAATAAAGATAAAGATAAAAAAGTTCCTGAGCCAGATAACAAGAAAAAGAAGCCGAAGAAAGAAGAGGAGCAGAAGTGGAAATGGTAACATCTCACCACTGGGCTAAAATGTCAGCGCTTTTATTGTACAACCTAATTAAACAAGAGCGTTAAATTACTGAAGTTAATCACCTGACATTTGGGGGAAAATACTTTTAAAAATCTCTAGAATAACATCTGAAATAAGTTATCCAGGTCCTAATGAAATAATTTACTAACTTTAAACATGTGGATCTCAAAACTAGGTTCATCCTTTCAACAGAATGAACTGTAGAAGTATAGATAGGAGGGAATTTGGCATATGAAGAAGTGCAAACGCGTCTGTTTATTCCATTTAAATTGAAATAATTTTTAACTGATACATGGAGACAAGAATTGTACGTATTAGTGGGGCAATGTGATGTTTTGATATATGCATTCATTACATTGTATAATGGTTAAATCAGATTGAACTTCCACTCATCAAACACTTATTTCTTTAGACTAAGAACTTGATATACTCCTAGCTTTTAAAATGTACAGCTCATTATTAATACTGCAAATATTTTTTATATGATAGGATTCTTAAATCATGTTGGGAACACTGCCTGTTTGTTTAAATAAGAACAAAACAAACCTCCACAAGAAAACCTGGGTGAATATTTGTATAGTTGTAGAATAGTGAAGATCTTTTGAAGCAAAATATAACCAGAGCCATAAGAAACTGATTTGCAAACTTGATACATTAAAATTGAAAATTTCTATGTAGCAAACAGAAAACTTCATACCATTAAATAATCCTAGACAGGTGAGGTGGCTCAACCCTATTATCTTAGCTCCTCTGGAGGCAGAGATCAGGAGTTACAGACCAGCCTAGGCAAAAAAGTTTGAAGATCCCTGTCAACCAGTGTTTGGCTATGGTGGCATACACCTGTCTCACAGCTAACACAAGGAAGCACAGATGGGAGGATAGCAGTCCAAGATGGTCTGGGCATAAAGCAAGACCCTATCTCAAAAATAACTAATTCTAAAAGGGCTGGAGGAATGGCTCCAGTGGTAGAGTACCTGCTTAGCAAGTGCAAGTTCCTGAGTTCAAACCCCAATACCATGCCCAAAAAATCCTAAAGAAATATATTTGTAATATAAAGGAAAGGGCTAATAATACTTAACGTGGAAAAAAAAAAATCTTGAAGACGAATGTGAAAGGAACAATATAATAGGATAGTAATCATAGGAAAATTAGAGTCTATTAGAACAATCTAATAGAAAAGTGAGTTCATTAAATCAAATTTGTGGTTAATAAGCATTGAACTTCACAAGAAGTTAAAGATGCAGAGAAAAATAGCATACATATTTTTGTTTAGTGCCTTTCAGGGAAAGATTGGTAAGTAAAATTTTTAGATGTTTTTAATGTGAAGAACAGGCATTTTCCTGTTCTTTCAGACAGTGTTTAGCAGTGGCAGGTTATCTTTGACAAGTATATTAGTTATGGAACTTATATTTTCTACTGTTAGAATTTTGAAATACACACTTTTTTTTCCTTTCAGTACTGGGACTTGAACTCAAGCCTACACCTTGAGCCACTCTACCAGGCCTTTTTTTTTTTTTTAACTGTTTGCCCAGGCTAGCTTTGAACCGTGATCCTTCTGATCTCTGCCTCCTGAGTAGCTAGGATTACAGGCCTCAACCACCGGCACCCAGCTGAAATACAGATTTTTAATGTTTATTTTTCTTAACAATTTTTTATTTCACTACTGCAATTCATATTTATGTGGAAAAAGTTGAAGTAATCCGGAGGTTTATCAGTTAGAAAAACAAAATGAAGTTCCCCTTTATTTTCCTTTCCTGCATTCCCATTTTCCTTTCTTTCCAGGTCCATTTGTGTTTATTTACTGACTTTTATTATTTAGAACAGTGATGTCCCTGTACCTTCAAGGAAGGGGGAAAAGCAGTGTCCAGAGAGGTGGCTGGGAGCAGCAGAGCAAAAATGTGGCCACACAATCACAGCTGTGTGATTGGTATGTTAGTGTGATATCTTAGGGTTAAAATGGAAGTGTAGAAAAGAGCAGAGGAATCCTGGGCCTTTCCAGACATCAGAGTTACAAAACAAAATAATGTGTGGTTTTTATTTTCCTTACTTTTATTTCATTTTTTTCTTTGGAATCAATCAGGTTTTCAGTGATCTTTCCCATAGTTCATAGTGTAGTGACAGTTTTTTATGATGTTAGTAAACAGTGTTTTAATATAAAGTGATTGTGTAAATTAGAGGTTATTATTGGGAGTCATGAGAATGGTAAGTTAGTAATTATCAGTGTGTTGCAAATCTTCGGGTTCTGTGGTTGATGCTCTCTGCTCATTAAGTGCATGTGTTGAATTGCCTGGTCACTAGGAGCTCCCTGTTGTTTTCTCTCCTCTTTTGGTGCTTTGGCTCTTTGGAAGCCCAAGGCAGATGTATTCTCTTTGTCTAGCCTGTGTCTGTGGAATTAGGTGCCTTTGAGGGGTCTAATAACCCAATTGCTTTTGTGGCTGAAATCCTTATGACTGTTGCCACAGGTAAACTCTGAGAGCCCATGACTTTGGTTTTTATTCTTGTTTTGGTTTAAAGGGAAATTGGCTAGTCTTAAACTAAAGGTGGTTGGTTTGGAAACAAGCAGTTTTTCATTACAGTTTCTAATGCATGCTTTCAAATTGATTGCTCAATTTTGTGCATTATTTTCTTTCCTTTTTTTTTTTTTTTTAAGTAGAACTGGGTCTTGAACGCAGGGCCTCTCACTTGCTAGGCAGGTGCTCTACCACTTGAGCCGTTCTGCAGCCCTTGTGCATTCTTTTCAAACAGTGCACATATAAATTTTCAGAAATGGAGGATAGGAATGAATAGCCTCCTAATCCATAGCTTTAGTCTTCTGGTTGTATATTGAAGTCCACTGATTGCTACCATCTTTACTATTCCTCTTGCTAGCCCACTAAAAGAATTGCACACTTCATCCACATGCCAATGTGCAGAACTTTTGCCTTCCTCTGAAATCTGCAAATAAGTTTGTCCTGACCAACATACTCTGGTCCTTATCTCCCTTTCTTTAGTAATTGTGGGAATGAGAAAATGATCCAGGTTCCTCTGATTTTCACCGCTGTATGACGTTTTCTTCGCAGAAACAGTGTTACAAATGGTGGCAGTATCCTTAGATTCGTCATGAAAATCAGTTTAACACAGATAACCCTGCTTTTAACTGGTACCCGTTGTAGCACTATTGGGTTTGACCGCTGGGTGCACTACACTTTTGTGTCAGTGCTGATCTCTTGGAACTCTAGTTAGTTATAAACAGATGATTCTTTGCCAAAAGACTTAAAAATTGGGTAGTTTATTGCTAGTGTTAGGTTTGACTTTAAATGGAGCTTCTAAAGTCTCATAGCAAAAAGGAAATGTTTTAAGAAGTTAGTAGTATAATGTTGTTAAGGAATTTGTGTTGAAAGACATGGATACCGTCAGTAATAATGGTAAGAAACTTAAGGAATATGATTATTGAAAATTGTTCTCAAGTCAGAGATAATCTCTCCTTAATTCCTTTTCTCTCTATTTACTGAACTAGAGCTAGAACTCAGGACCTTGTGCTTGCTAGGCAGGTGCTCTACCACTTGAGTCACACACCCCAGCCCTTTTGCTTTAGCTGTTTTTTGAGTGGGGTCTTCTGGTTTTTGTTGTTGTTTGCCTGGCCAGGTTGGATTGTGACCCTCCTATTCATGCCTCCCATGTAGCTGGGATCACAAGTATGCACCATCACATCTGCTTATTGGTCGAGATGGGATCTTGCTAACTTTTGCCTGGGTTGGCCTAAATTCTCCTGGTCTCTGCCTCCTGTGTAGCTAGGACTTACAGGTATACACCCTGCCCTGTGACCTTTATTTCTGAATTTTCATAGATTATAGAAATTTTGCAGTATATTGTGAGGTACTTGATAAGCCCAAGGAAACTTTGATTTTAAAAAAAGTGAATTTACTTTCCTGTCTTGCACTCATTTGTATTTTCCTACCTTTCCCTTTTCAGGCAAATTTTATTATAAAATTACTGCCTAATTTGAATTAAACCAGCTCACCATAGAAGACATTTTGATGCCTAAGTACATGCTTTTTCTTCACGTATATGTGTGTGAGAGACCTAAAAGGTCAACACTGTATGATTTTATTCAAACATTAATAACTGTCAATCCAGTAACATGAGGATTAACATGTTACTGGAGAATATATTCTGTCTTTCTGTTTAAACTTTGGTTTAGTGTTCAGTGATTCAGTGGATCTGTTAATTCGCTTAAATGGCAAAGAAGTTGCTCTGTCTTCTAAAGATTAACTGTGTTGAAGTTGAAGGAATTATAAAATAATTTGAAATCTGAATTTAGAAACATGGAGTTGATTAAAAGAATGAAGCCAGGTCCCACAGTTTGGGAGACTACATAGTATTCCGAGTCCCTTCATAATAATTGTGCGACTGCTACAACAGACTCCTTGCAAATGCTTTCACTTGCATGCATGCATGCATGCATGCATGCGTGCATACATATTTGCTCTGATTTGGAGAGTAATAAACTTTGAGCTTGAATGGGTTCCTGCATCAAGGCCTTTCTTTGGTTGATGACTGGTGTGGAGGTGCTGCCAACTTTTATCTATAAAGTGTTAGGTTCATACACAAGATCTTAAATGCTCCTTCCAAGTATAAATCTTTAATTTTTAAAATGTTATTTCAATGTATATTTAAAATACACGTAAAATTTACTGTCTTAACTTTTTAAATGTATACTTGTGGTATTGAGTATATCCAGATTGTTGGACAATCATGACCACTTTCAGAACATCTTTTGTCTTGCAGAACTAAAACTTTGTACCCCTAAAACACTTAACTCCCCTTCCCCCTCATGCCCCTGGTAACCATCATTTTGCTTTCTATCTCTATAAACTTGACTGTTGTCAAGTGACTATTGTGGGTTTCCTTTAATGCACAGGTGGTTTCAATTCCAACTTTTCTTTTTGTTGCCATTGCTTTTGGTGTCATGTCTAAGAAATCATTGCCAAATGCAATGTTATGAAGCTTTTCCCTTATGCTTTCTTCTAAAGGTTTTATAGTTTTAGCTCTTGCATTTAGGTCCTTAGGTCTTTGATCCATTTTGAGTTAATTTTTATATAGTCTGTCAGATAAGTGCCCAATGTCTTTTTTCTGCCAACTTCAGTGTTGAAAAGACTGTCCTTTCCCCCTTGAATGATCTTAAGCACCCTGGGTGAAAATCATTTGACCATATATATTGACTTTGGTTTTGTATAATACACAGTTTGATATATATTTTTTTATTTGATATTTTGAAACTTCATTTAAAATATTGGACTTGAAAGGAATTAATAGAAATAATAGAATCTATATAATTTGTCTCAGAAGAATGCCATAGAGTTTCTTTTAAGGTAAAAATAGTGAAGATTAAAATCTGTAACATTTTTAAGTACTCTCTCTACATGTCAGATGGATTCTATCTGGCCAATTTTTTTTTTTTTTTTTCAAATGTGAGGGTGGTGAGAAAGTCTTACTTGTTCCAGAGAAAAGGAGATGTTTGAGACATATCCTTCAGTTATAGTGTGTGATCCTTGATTAGATTTTGCTCTATAAAATTGACCAAGATTTTGTATACCATTGGGAAGTTCATAATCAGACTTAATATTGGAATAATACTAGAAAAATTGATTTTGTTTGATGCAATGATCGTATTTGTTATGTGGGAGGTTATTTTAGTGAAGATACTTGCTAAAATACCTAGTGGTGAAGTATCACATCTGTAATTAACTTTGAAATGGTTCAGCCAAAATAGGAAATGGAGCAAAATTTTAGCAGTTGTTTTTATGTAAGTAGTATTTATTGTTTTTCTGAATGATTTTAAAAGCTGTTTCCCCTCAGCTTTAGGTTCATTTGTCTGGTAGATAGTTCTAGATAATCCCAAAGTACTTTAAACTCAGTGTGTCCCAGTTGAACTATTATTTCCTGTTTTTTGTTTTGTTTTGTTTTTTTTTACTATATCATGTACTTTCTCATACGATTGTTTTTCCCTGTATTTTCACCTGTATCTTCACTCTCTGGAGGCATTTTCCTTTATATCAGCAGCATAAATAATACTTGTGTGTATAGCATTGTGGTACACTGCTGCAGCATTATGGTAAAGCAACTGTTTTCATTTACATATCCCTCACTCACTACTGAGCAATTGAAACATAGTTTCCTTTATTCACCTGAGTACTCCAGTTTACTTCTGTCTTCTACTATTTCAAAGTGAAAGGCACTGGTTATTAGGCTGGTGGAATGGCTCAAGTGGTAGAGTGCCTGCCTAACAAATCAAAAAAAGACTGGTTATTTTGATCAAAGCCTTGAATAAGTCCAATCAATTAAGCAGATAATTGTTTTGGCATTTTAATAGGTAATGATCTCTATACATTAGGCAAAATGATCAGTAAATGAGGTTGTGCTTATTTTTGAAAGGTGGGAAGAAGAGCGCTATCCTGAAGGCATCAAGTGGAAATTCCTAGAACATAAAGGTCCTGTATTTGCTCCACCATATGAATCTCTTCCAGACAATGTCAAGTTTTACTATGATGGTGAGTTGTTCCAAGGTTTTCTGATTCTTGACCAAGAAAAGAGTCTGCTTCTTTTTAGGGACCAAAACAAAACAAAACACCCTGAAAGACCCTATATTGGATAGTCTTTTCTGTTTATTTCATTTTGTTTTTATGTTTGGTTTGGAAAACAGACATCAAATATGTAGCTGTTAAAGGTCCATTGCTGCTGAAAAAGTACAGTGAGAAAGCAGCTATTAATGTCTTTACATAATTTTAAAAAAGGTCCATCTACATAGTTTACAGCTCATGGTCCACAAGCTGAGGGTTTTTGTTGTTTTTTAATCTGAAAGTCATTTCTCGGAAGCTGTTCTATGGAACATCGTTGTTAGAAAATCTTCACTTGGGTAGTATTTTATTTTAGTGACAGTAATACAAGCCAACAAACTACTTCTCACAAGAAATAGTATTTGGCTATGGATTAATTAGTCTGCCTTTCAACCTCTAGATAGGGCTGGTAGCATCTATCACTCATTCTGAATAGTGCAGCACTATACCTCTGATACAAGCTGCTTTAAGAAGTGCCCTGCCCAGGTCTCTTAGAATCCTTTGAATTGCTTCTTAACTGTCACCAGCATTTCTGTCCTTGAGTTGAAGGATTTGAGAGTAGTCTTTAACATGCTTTCTGTTAGGAGTATAGCAGTATGGTAGCTGGTAATGTTCACTTTATCTCCCTCATTCGAAGACTTCTACCCAGAAATAGCTAGAACATTGTTCCTCAAACCTTTAAATGCTTAAGATTCACAAGAGTAGCTCTAGTCCCATTTAATTAAGATGTGGAGGAGTGGGACCGGCTGCTTTTAGACCAAGTGATCTTCTTACCAAACATTGAGGAATACTGGGCAGGAAAGCTGCTGAAAAGCATTAGTGGTAAACACTCAAGAGAGTTCTGGTGCATCTCTCTGTACATCAGCAGTAGCTTCATGGCCACAGTTGTTTATGGCTTTAGGTAGTATAGGCTGAACATCCCAAATTTTAAATCTGGATGTTCCAAATCCAAAAAATTTTGAGTGCCATTATGATACCACAAAAATGAAACTTCATTTCATGCCCATGACTATTAAAGATATTATATATAGATATATAAAGTGTATATGAAACATGAATGTATTTATTATTTAGACCTGGGTCCCATCCTTAAGATAATTATTTTATTTATATAATATATATCAATAGATAGATATTAAAATCTGTCAGGAAAAAAAAACCAAACAAACCCTATGCATTTCTGGTTCCAAATATTGTGGCTAAGGGATGCTCAGCCCGTTGTTTTATACTGAAGGGCTGGTTCTGCAAGCGAGGAAAGTCCAAGCTTGGAAAGTCAGAATTTGTTTTTTAAAAGAATATATTTACTAACTATGCCTGTGTTCAGACACCAAGAGCCAGATAGTGCTACTGACTTAATCCCTGATTTTAGGGAGTTGGCAGCATAACAAGACCGCATAGTCTAAATGGCTTCATAGTCTCAATGGCATTTGCCATTGAGAAACAGTTTGACTGCTGTTAACCAGAGAGCAAACAACAGAGTTCTTTGAGTCCTCTCAGTGGGTCATGCCTGGAGATTCTTAAATATGATTTAAAGCTAAAACTCCTGATGATGACAAAGAGCCTAAGACCTTTAAGAAGACCTATAAAAGTATAGGTATCCTGTAACCCTAGTCTGGGCTCACTAAGAGCTTTTGAAAGCTTAATGGCAAAGCCCTGCTTTGAGGTTCAAGGTAACTAGAGTGACAGGTAGTTCCCCTAGTCTTGGAATTTCTCTTACTTTTTAAGATGGAGTAGATTACTGGTTACTGGTTCTTTTATAGGAACTCCAGGGTACTAGTAGCATTTTCTTTCTTATTCTTCCCTCTGGGACTACTTCCCTTTTATTGTACAAACTTCCACTCTATAGTAAGTCAAGAATATTTGACTTACCACTTACCAAACTGATAACCTAAGGGCTGCCCACTCTCTGAGGAGAATTCTAATCTGTAGAACCTGCCAGGGAGGTAGGGCATGGGCTGGCTGAAGTGTTGAATTGCTGACTTTGCTAAGGACCTTCAGTTTTAGCTCTGACTCAGCAGTTTGCTTTTCCTGGAGCTCACTCTTTTCCACAAAGTACTGCCATTGCCAGGAACTTTCAAGTCATCCTCCCACCCCTCTGCAGCAGGGAGCTGTTATTTCATCTTTTGACGGCTCATTTAAAACATGAGGAGTCATAATAGCTTCCTCTCTTGGAACAGAATTCAGTAAATGGCTCAAAGAGTCAGGGTTTTTTTTGTTTGTTTGTTTGTTTCCTAAATGTCTTCAGTGTTTAGTTGTACCAAATACATTGGAGAACAGTTTATTTTCTTCTTGCCATTTAAAAATTGTATGTGTTTTAAATTATTATATGTCTATATATCTTTTTTTTTTTTTTTTTTAAGTTTGAGACAGGGTTTCACTACATAGCCCAGGCTGATCTGGAACTTGCTTTGTAGTCCAGGCTGGCCTCAATCTCATGACCCTCCTGCCTTAGCCTCACAAATGCTAGGATCACAGTCATGCACCACTACATCTGGCTTAGTATTTTCCTGTATATTGGAAGAATGTTGCAGTTTTACTGGCAAGTTTGGCTCAGAACTGAATGGGGGAGTACTGAAAAAGAGTAGGAAGCACTACCTAAAAGTAGGTTATCTTTCCAAAGTATCTTCCTTCCAGAGATGAACTTTGAGGTTGAGAGGACAAACTGCGCCACCTGTTGGCCTTTTAAGTAAATTATGGCTTCTAAACAGATTTTTTTTTTTTTTCCTGTCTACCATGAGTTTCAATTCTGTGCCCTGGTTCCTTATATTCTTACAATTGGGGATAATAACTTTCCAACCATCATGAGATGAAATGTCTTCTGAGTTTTGTAATGATAGGTTGCAAATAGGTTTCTATAACCAGAGTAGAATCCTCCACTCAAATTATACATGCTTATGTAACATTAAGTCAGTGGAATTATATTTAACTTTATTTAAAATACAGCCAAATGCTATTACAATGGTTTCAGATGGTGTTGTAAAGTTGGATTTTCAAGGAAAAAAATGGAAATTGGCCCTACAGTATTTTTAAAATTCTTCTTTGAAAAGTAGATTAAATTTCCAAGTACTTTCTTTTTATTGCTTTATTAACTTAGGCACATAGCTTTAAGGTCTACCCAGGTTTTCTTTACCAGTTAGTAGCATTTCATTGTGAGAGGCAAGAGCTCCTTTAGAGCAGCTTTTACACAAATACTTGCATGATGCCAGGATACCCCAGCTGTCCCTCATGCTGTGGATGAATTCTGTTTTCCTAAAAGAGGCAGCCTTGTAGTACCTATGCTCCGTAGTAATTGGAAAAGAGGTACTATAAGCAAGATTCAAGGAACAAAGCATTGCAAACTCTACTGTGCGTATGAGCGTTGTTAAAATGCAATTTCTGATTCAGTAGGCCTAGGGTGGAGGACCAAGATTTTGTGTTTCTAACAAACTCCTTTGTAATACTGATGCTTTTGGTCTGTGAACCACACATTGAATTATCAGGGTTCTAGAGAAAGGTCTCACTTAGGCTTTTCATATGGGAAATCTGGGCTTGCCTGCTATGGATATTTTTCTTTCATTCATATTCCACCCACCTAACTTTGAAGAAGAAAGATGCCTATTTCTTTTCCCCACAATTCCTTTCTTCCACTCCCTGCCCTATCCCTTCCTCCCCTTCTTGAACAGAGGCTGCTTAGCTTAGCAGTGGCAGGAGTCCCTCTGAGGATTTCATTTTTAAAAAACCATTGAAGAGGTGTAAAGGACCCTGCTTGCTGAAAGGAAAAGGAAGAGTGGCTGGGCCTTCCCCAGGTCATCCCTGTCCTGAGCAGGCACTTGGGAACAATTAACTGGCATAGTCTCCAGAGAATGACCCAGGTAAATATTTGCTAAAGAGAAGGAGAATTTATACAAGTAGATATAAATCAGTATGTTGTCTTTGTTATTGTTGTAACTATGTGTTACCAAACCTTTGTTTACCTTGGAAAGGTAAACTATTATTAAAGAAGTCTCCAGCACTCAGTATTTATACTTAGAATGTGAATGCTACGCCTCACTTTTTGCAACCACTTTTTCCTCTAGGTAAAGTCATGAAGCTGAGCCCCAAAGCAGAAGAAGTAGCTACATTCTTTGCAAAAATGCTGGACCATGAATATACTACTAAGGAAATATTTAGGAAAAATTTCTTTAAAGACTGGAGAAAGGTATTGTAGCCCATGTATTAATAGCCTAGTAGTTGTCAAAAATGTTGATTAAGTACTAAATTAAAACTGCAGTTTTATTTTTTAAAAAATACCTGGCATAAAATCTGAGTTTTATGAACTTTATTGAATTAAAAGTTTGTATTTTTTGTCTCTTCACTTACTGTACTAATGTGGTTTCTGTCCAACCAGAATACTTCTGTTTCCTGTCAGCTCTCATGTGATTGCAAGAGGGGGTTATCAGATTAGGCCAAACAGAAAACGTCAATTCTAGTTGAGCAATGGAAAGTTGGTATAGGACTGCCATCTGCTGTTGCAAAGAGAGATAGTAATCTGACATCGCCTTCTGTCTTAATTCTTGTTTACTTTTCATTTGTTTTCTGCTCTTGAAGCCACAGAGACTATATCAGCCTAAATAATTTTTAAAAATCTCATTCTCAATTTGGATAATGTGAACCAAGGCTGTAAAGTTTACCTCCTGAAGTAACTCTGAAAATCAGATTTAATAAGTAAATAGAGGGCTGGGCACCAGTAGCTCATGCCTATAATGTAGCTACTTGGGAAGCTAAGATCAGAAGGATACTGGTTCACAGCCAGCCTGGGCAAATAGCTGGCAAGACCAAACTCCAAAATGACCAGAGCAGATGGACTGGAGATGTGGTAGAGTACCTGCTTTGGAAGCACAATGTCCTGACTTTAAACCCAGCCCCAAACCCTCACCCACACCCCCTCCCACTCCCCAAAATAAAAAGAATAGAGCAAGGGTAATGTTCTGAGAGAGAATGAGTAAGGAAATAAAATAACTGATTTATATTCATTTTTCTGAAACTAGTGTTCATGCCTAGAGATTTATGACAGTGTGCCAAGGAATCCAAGAGACTACGTGAGAGTAATCTTTCTCAGTGATAAGTCGTTTAAAATATTTTTGTGTTAAATACATATTTTATGAAAAACAATTTTTTTTTCAAATCTCACTAAGATTGGCTACCTCTCTAGACACCTTCAACTAAAAGAAAAATTTTTTAAATCATGTTTTTCTATAATTACAAAGAAACCAGAGGACTTAATTGGTGTATTTACATTATTTTATCTCCCCTTTTTCATTTCATTAGGAAATGACTAATGAAGAAAAGAATACTATCACCAGCCTAAGCAAATGTGATTTTAACCAGATGAGCCAATATTTCAAAGCCCAGTCGGAAGCTCGGAAACAGATGAGCAAAGAGGAGAAATTGGTACTATAGCATTTGTTAAACCTCTAGAGAATTTTGGAATAGTGATTGCTCAATTAATTTTCTTCTTGGTTCTTGTGACACACCACTGACTTCAGTAATTCACATTGTTCAATGCTTAATCTAAATTTTCTTGAAGGATTTTAATTATGCTGAATGTTATAAATAAGCACTTTGTTTAGTAGGACAATATAAGAACCATGGTATGCCACTGACCTAAAACACAATAATTCCCCTAATACAGTATTTAAGGATGGGGCAACCTGTCCCACAGTGGCTTCTAGATCCTAGGATTTAAGACAGCTGAAATAATACTGTCCTTGTACTTGTACCTCCCTATTCTTTGCTCTGGAATCTAGCCACACTCACTCGTCTTGGCCATTCTCTTTGTTGAAGGATCTTTGTAGTATCCAGCTTGTATGTTTCCTTGCACAGGCTGCCTGTGTTTGGAAATGTTTAATTCGGACATAGATACATCTACTGATTTATATATTCTCTTGTTGCTTTTATGCAACAATGGCAGAGATGAGTATTTCCGTCTAAAATACTATCTATCTAGAAAAAGTTGCCAATCCCTGATCTAGAGAAATCCAGGCTAGGATTTTATATGTAAGTTTGAAAAGTTCACTTGAGGTTTTCCTTTATTTGAATTCATTTCTTAATGAATCTTAGACTTTATCTTGACTTTTCTCCCACAAGAGATAAAAATAGGTGAATAGAGAGCAGCAGTTTGAATCCATTTTTTCTGTATTCCAGAAAATCAAAGAAGAAAATGAAAAGTTACTCAAAGAATATGGCTTCTGTATTATGGATAACCACAGAGAGAGGATTGCCAACTTCAAGATAGAGCCTCCTGGGCTTTTCCGTGGCCGTGGAAACCACCCAAAAATGGGCATGCTGAAAAGAAGGATCATGCCTGAGGACATAATCATCAACTGTAGCAAGTGAGTACAACAGTTTATCCTATGGGCCAGAAATGAAGTGGAAGGCTTTCTTCCTTGCTGTTGGTTGGGACTGTTTCCATTTTAAAAAGGACTGTTTGGGAAGGAGCTCCTTAAGATAGTGTGATATTTCCATGGATATGTCTCACTGACTTGTAAAGAGAAAACTTGGAAACACACTCAACATATACATTCGCTTTAGGCCATGAAAAGTGAAATATGATTCTCACTTCTCCCTTCACTGCACTGCTCTCTTGCTTGGTCATTTTCACAGAGATGCCAAGGTTCCTTCTCCTCCTCCAGGACATAAGTGGAAAGAGGTCCGACATGATAACAAGGTTACTTGGCTGGTCTCCTGGACAGAGAACATCCAAGGTTCCATTAAATACATCATGTTGAATCCCAGTTCACGAATCAAGGTAAGGGGAGGTTATTAATGGCCATGTCCACTAGTGGGGCTGCTAAATATCTTTTTGTAATGTAATGTGAGGAAATGTAATGTTGTTACCATCTAGACTCTCTGCTAAGAGAAGGCAGTAACATCTATTTGTGTGTGTGTGTGTGAGTGACATTTGTACTCTTAGTCATTTATCAAGTCACAAATATTTATTGATATCCCAGTAATGTGCCAAGCACAGTGTATGGTAGTATTAGGAATTGTGTTGTTTAACAAGATAGATTGCAATCCTTGCCTTCACACTTGCTGTTTGCTGTCTATTGATCAGGATATGATGAATGTGATAAACATGTTGGGTTTTATAGCTCTCTTCTTCCTGACCTTACTTGACACTGAGGAAGGAAAATAATTTCTTTGAATTGAGAAACATGGTTTGAACCTGTAGATTCTTTTTTTTTTTTTTTTGGCTTTTCAATTTTTTATTTTATTTATTTATTTTTTCTTTTATTATTCATATGTGCATACAAGGCTTGGGTCATCTCTCCCCCCCTGCCCCCACCCCCTTCTTTACCACCCACTCCACCCCCTCTCTCTCCCCCCCACTCCCTCAATACCCAGCAGAAACTATTTTGCCCTTACTTCTAATTTTGTTGTAGAGAGAGTATAAGCAATAACAGGAAGGACAAGGGTTTTTGCTGGTTGAGATAAGGATAGCTATACAGAGAGTTGACTCGCATTGATTTTCTGTGCATGTGTGTTACCTTCTATGTTAATTCTTTTTGATCTAACCTTTTCTCTAGTTCCTGGTCCTCTTTTCCTATTGGCCTCAGTTGCTTTTAAGGTATCTGCTTTAGTTTCTCTGCATTAAGGGCAACAAATGCTAGCTAATTTTTTAGGTGTCTTACCTATCCTCATATCTCCCTTGTGTTCCTCGCTTTCATCATGTGCTCAAAGTCCAACCCCATTGTTGTGTTTGCCCTTGATCTAATGTCCACATATGAGGGAGAACAGAAACCTGTAGATTCTTAACATACCTCTCATCTAAGTAGGTTCCACCAGAACCAGATGGGATGATTATTAAACTGTATTCTGTACCTACGTGTTATTTTTTTATTGACAGTTATTGAAAGAAGAAACTGTGTTGGGATCTTGTTATCCAACTTGTTACATACCTTCTCTAGAGAGTCCCAGGACCTTACTCTCTCTGACATACTCTGGAAATATGAGCATCAGCCTAAAAGAGAGCTAGGTTTCACAAAAACACAGCCAAGGAATTAGTTCTGCAGAGACCGTGACTATTTTATATTCAGGAGATTGAGGCTAAAGGCCTCCTTAATCATGGTTTATAGAAATTTCATGTCTGTTAAGATGTGAAAGCCAAGTAAATTACCAAGACTAAATTGCACACTTTCTAGCTTACAGCTTCGTGTTCTATATTTCACTACTTTTCTAATGAAAAATACCCCTCTGCATTTCCTTCAAATCAATTGGAAAACATACTTTTCCTAGTGTAGAGTCAGAGAACTGCGCAAGCCATTTAAAAAAGAAACATTCTGTCTCTCTTCTGAGATAGCACAAAGTTTATAGGGCTACAAAAGTGAATAAACAATGATTCTGGTTCTCAAGGAACTTACAGACTGGTGGGCAAATTGGATAAGAATTTAATTGTGCTAGAAGACAGTTAAAAGTTAATTGCTGTAGATAAATAGAGCAGTTACTCCCAGCATTTAGAGATCAAAAGCAACTTTAAAAAGGAAATCAGGTTAAAGTTATGTTTTATTTATTTATTTATCTTTTAAAATTGTCATTATTGTTTACTGGGGTACATTTGTAACACTTATAAAAGTGCTTATAATCCATCTTAGTTAAATTCACCTCCTTCACTCTTTATCTTCCCTCCCCCCATTCTTAGAATAGTTTCAACAGGTCTCATATTTTCATACATAAGTATGTAATATTTCCACCATATTCACTCTTCTACACTCTCAATTTATATCCTCCCCCACACACACTGGTACCAACTCCCAGAAGACATTTTTGTTTAAGATATTTATCCAGAGAGTTTCATTATGATATTTTCATATATATATGTATTTTATCTGAGTTGGTTCATCTCCTTCATTTTTCTCCTTTCTACTTTAGTCCTCTTCTTACAGTGATTTCAACAGTTTTGAAAATTCTATATTTATTTTTGTATAGAATGTACATCAACCATAATCCCTTCTTTATCTCTTTTACACTCCACCTCCTGCTAATACCCTCTTTTTAGCATTACCTGTTTTTCATTCTTGTCCTTCATGGTTTAGGTGTCTGTTCATTGTTCACTGGAATTTTTGTCTTGGTATTTATGCATGTATCTGAATTGTACTAAGTAAGTCAATGTAACCCCCTTCACTGTACTTCCTTTTCCAGCATGCTTTCTTGTGTCTTGTTCTACACTACTGTGATGTGTTTCATTATTCTCTATCTTCCTTTTAAAGTTATGTTTTAAATGGTCTTTCAAACAAAGAATGGTGTGGTATAGACATAGAGAAGGTAAGCACAGAATATGTTGAGACGCATAGGTATGTGAAAATGTGTAACAAAACAAACTTTGAAATAGTAATGGTTGCAGAGCATTGTGAATGTACTAAATGTTCCTTATGGTAATTTTGTTATGTATGTTTTACCACAATAAATTATCAAAGTAATGGATATTGCATTACTATTAAAAAGCATTTTCAAATCAGTTGACATTTGATTCTTTTAACAACCATAACAGACATGTACTTAGGCTACCATTTTGTAGATGAGTAAATTTAGACAGAGAGTCTAAAAAAACTATCCAAGATCTGATAGTTGGTAACCGAAACTTTAATCCTCTTAGCATTAAGAAGTCATACTTCTTCATCACATCCTGCTGCCCAATTTTGGCAAGCCTTTAATGATATGCCTAAGAGAAGTTCATGTTCTACTCCAGTGAAGGGTTTTGAATGGAAGGGTGTCTTGAACATAGGTAGTCTCAAGCAAGATTTACAGGCATGGCACTGTAAATACACTGATATTTATAAACTGTGATAAATGTTGCAAAGCAGAAGTTACGGGATATCATTTAAAAGTATATCAAGGAACATGATTTGGCCTCTGGGGTTGAGAAAAGGCCTTTATAAGAAGGGAATATTTAATGTGAGATTTAGGAAATGAATGGATGTTCCAGACAAATAGCCTTCTGAAATCCCTGAGATGAGAAAGAGCCCAATAGTTTTGAGCACAGAAAGGAAGCCATCACAGTTGGAATACAATGAGCAAGAAAGAGGAATTAAAGGAAGTGATAGAGGAAGGCAGGCTAGATCTTCAGATCCTACTTAGGTTTTTTTTTTATTTTTACATTATCATAAGTCCAAAAAGAAGCTACTGACCTAGATTTTATTTATTTATTTTTTTCTTTTATTATTCATATGTGCATACAAGGCTTGGTTCATTTCTCCCCCCTGCCCCCACCCCCTCCCTTACTGACCTAGATTTTAAAGAGGGAAATATAACTAGACTTGTGTTTTAGAAACTTATGACGTAATTGATCATTCTACTGTTGCTTTCGGGAGATTGAATTGGACACAAACAGGAAGTTGGGAGACCAATAGAAGGTGATGGAGAGAGGTAAGAAATGGTGATGACCTAGATAGATGATGGCAATGGTAATGGAGAGAGGTGAACAGATTCCAAATGTGTGTGTACTGAGTACTCCTATAGGCAAAGATTTGAGTTGATAGTAAGATTGAAATTTTTGTTAAGTAGGCAGGTAGACCAACTCAAGAGCAGAAAGTCATCCAGCTTTATTCCAGACAGTACCCAGTTAACTGCTTTACACAGTAAACAGATTTGCAGGTTTCTGGATGATGACTATAGCAGTAAACTTGGAAGTCATACAGAGGTAGGCACTCCCTAGAACCCCGTACCCAAAACAGAATTCCTTACTCCAGTCAACTGGTATGGGATTCCAAGAACAGTCATTACAGGTCTGGAAGGGTGGTGTTTCACACAGCAGAACAGTGACCTTTTCTGAGGTTGAAGTTTGACAGCACCTTGAATAGTTTTTAACTTTGTATTGCTACCCATAGAAGCATTCTCTTTTTAGATAAAGAAATGGAAAGATAGAAACATTTGGAGTTCTGTTTTTAATGAAATATTTCAAATATCCAAGAATAAATAAATAATACAGTGAACATTCATGTGCTTACCATCTGGATTTATCAAGTCTTAATGTTATGACCCGTGTTTTAGGTTACTTCACTGCATTAAAATACTGTGATAAATAGGCCTCTGTGTACCATTCACCTTCTTCCCTGCAAATTACAATGATGAACACTGTATTTTAATTTTCATGTGTATTCTTGTATTTTTTACAATATATTTATATGTGCATAAACAATACATAATACTGTTTACAAGGGTTTTGTTTTTTGTTTTTTTGAGGGGCGGTGGTACTGGGGTTTAAACTCAGGGCCTAGCACTTATTAGGCAGGTGCTCTATCGCTTGAGCCACTCCTGCAACCCTCATTAAGATAAATTTGTTATGTTGTAATGAAAACAACATTGAGATTTTTATTGAAATTGCATCAAATTTGTAGATTAATAGGGAAAGATTATAGTACAATACTGAGTCTTCAATCCATAAGCATGTTATACTTCCTCATTAGTTCATGTCTGAATCTATCCTCAATATGATTTTCTATTTCTGTCTAATAGAGGTTCATCCATTTTTTAAAAACCTTACCTCTGAGAAACTTTATTGTTTTTGTTGCTAATGTGAATGAGAGTTTTTTCCTATTACATTTCTGTTGGCCACTACTGAAATGGTTGTGCTCTTGACTTCTGATTGTTGCAAGAATTGCTCAGAATTGTTCAGGATTATTGAACTTTTATTAATCTTTAAAGGATGTAATTTGGACAGTTAAATTACCTAAAAATAAAAACAGTTTTAAATCCTTATTTTTAGTTCTTATACCTCATAATTCTTTTGCTTAAATTTTACCTTTCATTTTT